TCTTTCATACACACAACTTCAGTAAACTGGTTAACTTTCTCTAACTGAGCAACCAACATGCAGGCTTCCTCTTGAGATCCAAATAAATTTAAATATATATTAAATATCATCATGAGATGTGCGCTGAAAGAAGACTGCAAAATAGCAGAAAGCAGGAAACCAGGAAAAGGGAGTGGTTTATGTGCAAGGGAGTAAGAAAAAATAGGAAAGGTGAAAAGGGGGATGAAGGAGGTGATTGTGAATGTTGGTGTGTCTGTGAAAAGGAGACTGCAGAAAAAGAGAGAGGAGAAAGAATGGAAATAGGGAAATATGTGTGCAAGGGAGTGGTGGGATAAGTAAAGGGGAAGGGAGGAAGAGGAGGTGAAGCTGAAGATAAGTGAGCCAAGTGGTTTGCAAAAAGGGAGTATCAGGCATGGGGACATGGTAATTTGGAAAGGAGGGTATGAAAATGTCTGCAGAATAGGAAGGGGTGGTGTCACCATAATTGGGTGGAAAATGAGAAGGTGCTTTAATAGTTGCAATGTGTGGCAGGAGGAAGATATAGGAGGGTATCACAGGCTGGTTTGCTTTCATTGTGGGGTTGCAGGAAAGGAGGGGGAGGTTTCATGTGGACATGGACGTGGGTTTTAAAGTGAAAATGGGTGGAGAGCAGGATTGCAGGATTGAAGAGAAAAGTGGCTTGAGATATGAAGTTTGGAAGCTTAAATTCATGACTAATGGTTGCATTGGAAGGGAATGGAGAGGTTTAGGGGGTTGGGGAACAGAGGGAGCTGAGGAAAGCCCTACTAAAATTGTTAAAAGTTCAGAAGTGTAACAATTTATCCACTCTATCTGCTTATCAAAGTGGTCAGGGCTGAATAAAATAATCAACTTCGAATGACTTTAGGCTATTATGCCCCCCTTTTCTGGAAATCTGACAAAAAACACTAGGCAACTAGGGCAAATTGCTACTCTTTGATAGACCACTGAAGATGCACTGAGGGATTCAGGAGTCAGAGATATAAGAAGATTCCTGGTGGATCACCCAAAAACTCATATAGTCCAGCATAGTATTCTTAGGAAACAGATGCTTGTGAGAAGCCTCTCCCACCTGTGATCTCCAGAACCTTAACGGAGAGTCTCATTGGCTATTATACGGGAGGAAATGTAGCTATTGTGACTAGTACTCATTTGTCTCTCATAATATGAGAACCTGTGGACATGCAATGAAATTGAGTAACTTGATGGTTATGTTCTACCTCTGCTGTTGGGGAAAATGTGGATCTGAATGTCTGTTGCTGGGAAATAGTAGTAGGAGAGTGGCGTTGCTCTCATGTCCTATTTTCAGGCCACTGTAAAAATACTTTTCTTGGGCAGATGGCCTGGTTCAACAGGCTGATGTAAGTTCTATCCTGTTGCAGTTTATAGGAAATCTTCTTACAGCAGCCAAACTCCTCATTGCTTCCAAGTGGTGTTCACCCAGTGTACCTGCTGCAGAGTTCAGTGTTCCATAATGTACCTGCTGAAGACATCTGGCTTCATAATTTTATCTAATTTGACTGCTCATGTGGCTGAGTGAGGGTAGCCAAAAGGGCAAACAGGTTGAGACACTATCAAGTCCTTTTTTAATATGCTCCTGGGGTTGAGAACTCCTGGCCTGGGAGCCAAATGCAGCACCCACATAACTCTTTACCTGAAGTTTCACTAAAGGAAAAAAGGTGAAACTTTGAGAGCTGCACAGCCCCTTTATCATCTATATGGGCCACCACAATGAATATCTTATTCATCATCGATTTTATTTATGAAAATTCTATCTCGTCATTCTTGCCAAAGGAGCCCTGGCTGGATATTCAAATGGTTTTTCTTTTGAATATCCCAATTTATCCTGTCTCTTCTCTTCTCTTCTCTTCTCTTCTCTTCTCTTCTCTTCTCTTCTCTTTTTTTTTTTAAATAAATTTTTATTAATTTTCCAAACACAAAATAAAAAAAACAAACAATACACAATACACCGACATACAAACATATAAACATGTATAATTTCATAACCACTTTTCATAAACCTTACTTTCCGGACTTCCCCATACCTCCCCTTTTCTGCATCCTTGTTTTATATTTCTTCAGCAACTCCTCAGTCGACTAATTATTCAATTCAATTTCTTTTAAGTTCTTCTAATATTGTTAATTACAGCTGCAATTCTCTGTTTCCCAACCCCTTGACATTTTAACATTCCTGAATTTTACAACAAGTTCTAAGATAAACTTTGAATTTCTTCCAATCTTCTTCCACTGTCTCTTTCCCCTGGTCACGGATTCTGCCAGTCAACTCCGCCAGTCCCATGTAGTCGATCACCTTCGTCTGCCATTCTTCCAGTGTGGGTAGTTGTTGTGTCTTCCAATACTTTGCTAGAAGAATCCTTGCTGCTGTGGTCGCATACATAAAAACGTCCTGTCCTTCCTTCTCACCAATTGGCCGACAATGCCCAGGAGAAAAGCCTCAGGTTTTTAGGGAAGGTCCATTTAAGAACCTTCTTAATTTCATTATAGATCATTTCCCAAAAAGCTTTTATCCTCGGGCAGGTCCACCAAAGGTGATAAAAAGTACCTTCAGTCTCATTACATTTCCAACATTTGTTATTGGGCAGATGATAAATTTTTGCAAGCTTGACTGGGGTCATGTACCACCTATACATCATTTTCATAATGTTTTCTCTTAAGGCATTACATGCCGTAAATTTAGTACCGGTGGTCCACAGCTGTTCCCAGTCAGCAAACATAATGTTATGACCAATATCTTGTGCCCATTTTATCATAGCTGATTTCACCGTTTCATCCTGTGTGTTCCATTTCAACAGCAGATTATACATTCTCGACAGATTCTTAGTATTGGGTTCTAACAGTTCTGTTTCTAATTTTGACCTCTCCATCTGGAAACCTATTTTCCTGTCCTGTTTAAATGTCTCGTTTATCTGAAGGTAGTGCAACCAATCTCGCACTTTGGACTTTAATTTCTCATAACTCTGTAATTTAACTTTTTCCCCATCTTGTTCTAAAATTTCACAATATTTTGGCCATTTAGACTCCATATTAAGTTTTCACCTCTTTAGCTTCCATTGGTGACAACCACCTGGGAGTTTTACTTTCCAATAAATCTTTATACCGCATCCAAACATTATATAATGCTTTCCTAACAATATGGTTTTTGAAACCTTTATGCAGTTTTACCTTATCATACCATATATATGCATGCCAGCCAAATCTATTGTCAAACCCTTCTAGATCCAAAATGTCTGTATTCTCAAGAAGTAGCCAATGTTTCAACCAGCAGAAAGCCGCCGATTCATAGTAGAGTCTTAAGTCCGGCAGGGCAAACCCCCTCTATCTTTTGCATCAGTTAGAATCTTAAATTTTATTCTGGGCTTTTTGCCCTGCCAGACAAATTTAGATATATCTTTCTGCCACTTCTTGAAACAGTCCATCTTGTCCAAAATCTGCAATGTCTGGAATAAAAACAACATTCTAGGCAATACATTCATCTTGATAACAGCAATTCGACCTAACAAAGAGAGTTTCAACCTTGACCATATTTCTAGATCTTTCTTTACCTCTGTCCAACATTTGTCATAATTGTCCTTAAATAAATTCACATTCTTAGATGTTAAGTTTACCCCCAGATACTTTACTTTTTCGTTATCACTAAACCTGTTTCATTCTGAAACTTCTCTTTTTCAGCCAATGTTAAATTTTTGTCCAACACTTTCGTTTTCTGTTTGTTCAGTTTAAATCCTGCTACTTGACCAAATATCTCAATTAGTTCTAATACTCTTTTAGTACTAGTATCTGGCTGTTGCAAGGTCAGTACTAGGTCATCTGCAAATGCCCTTAGCTTGTAATGTCTAGCTCCGACTTGTACTCCTTTAACCAACTGGTCTCCTCTAATCATGTTTAACAAAACCTCCAGGACTAATATAAAAAGTAAAGGGGATATTGGGCACCCCTGTCGTGTACCTTTTTCTATAGATATTTCTTCCGTAACCACATTGTTTACAATTAACTTTGCTTTTTGTTTAGAATATATTGCACCTATACCGTTTTCAAACCCTTGACCTACCCCCATCCCTTGGAGATTCTTCTTCATAAAGCTCCAACCAATATTATCAAAGGCTTTCTCCGCGTCCACAAAAATTAAAACAGCCTTCCTATTGATGTCCACTTCTAACAGTTCCAAAATGTCTATAATGTTCCTCACATTGTCCGACATATGTCTCCCTGGAAGAAAGCCAGTTTGGTCCTTATGAATCTCCCCTACCAACACTCTCTTCAGTCTTTTTGCCATAATGTCTGCAAAAATTTTGTAATCCACATTGAGTAATGATATAGGGCGGTAGTTTTTAACCTGGTTCTTTTCAGTCTCAGTTTTCGGTATAAGTGAAATAAAGGCTTCTTTCCACGACTCTGGTGCCTTTTCCCCTCCAAAATTTCATTACATACTTCCTTCAGTGGTTGTACTAACCATTCCTTCAACGCTTTATAATATCTGGCGGTCAAACCATCTGGTCCTGGAGATTTTCCCAATTGCATCTTCTGAATGGCACCCTCTATTTCTTGTCCTGTTATTTTCTCATTCAAAATCCTTCTGCTTTGCTCTGAAATTTTTGGTAATCCATGTTTCTTAACAAATTCTTCTATTTCCTGTTCGTTGACTGGCCCTTGTGCATATAATTTCCTGAAGTAACTTTGAAAACAATTACTTATCTCGTTTGGTTTGTGGATAATCTTTCCATCCACTTCTAAACTTGTCACAGTGTTCAGTTTTTGCCTCTTTTTCAATTGCCATGACAGAAATTTCCCACATTTATCTGCTGATTCAAATGTCTTTTGTCTCATTTGCTTTATTTTCCATTCTATCTCTTGATTCATCAATTCCATATATTGCACCTGATAGTGCTTTATTTCTCTCAGAATCTCATGGGACTTTGGTTTAGACCTCAATTTCTTTTCACCTTCTTTTATTTTTTCCAGAATTTTTCTTTCCTTTCATTTTGATTTTTCCTCTTTATGGAGTTCTGTTGTATTAGGAAACCTCGCATCACGGCCTTACTTGCGTCCCAGATTATTCTTTTTCCACTTCTGTTCTCAAATTTATCTCAAAGTAATCTTTCAGTGTTTTTTGGGCCTTCTTATAAATCTCTTCATCTCTAAATAGGGTGTCATTCATTCTCCATCTAAAGGATCCAGTTGATGTTAGTTTCATCTCCATCTTTACAGCATTATGGTCGGAGCAAGTCTTTGAGCAGATTTCTACCTTTTTGATCCTTGGCGCCATACTGCTAGTTACCCAAATTTGGTCAATTCTTGTCCATGTCATTTTTGCTTCAGAGAAAAAAGTTCCCTCTCTCTCAAGAGGGTTCCTTGTTCTCCAAATGTCAATCAAGTCCATAGTTTCAGTCATTTCAAAAAAAGTCTTTGGTAGTCTCCCTTCCTTGGAAATTACTTGTCTCTGTGCTTTGTCCATATTTGTGGAAACTACACCATTCATGTCTCCCATCATTACTACTCTATAGTCTAGATAGTCCATTAAAGTCTCATGCAACTTCTTAAAGAATTCCGCCTTCCCGTCATTTGGTGCATAAATTCCGACTATCAAGATTTTTTCTCCTTGAACTTGTATTTCAATTGCCAGGTATCTTCCTTGTTCATCTTTAAATATCATCTTTGGAGCCAATTTTTCTTTTGCATAAATCACCACGCCTCTTTTCTTAACTTTGTCTGATGAAATAAATTCCTGTCCAAGTCTCTTGTTTACCAATAATTTCCTATGTGTCCTGGTCACATGGGTCTCTTGTAGACATATTAGGTCTAATTGTTCTCTTTTCAAAATATGAAAAACTTGGCGTCTTTTTCGGGGAAGGTTCAAACCATTACAATTCCAGCTAAGAAGTTGCAGAGACATTTTGTTATTAAGTACCTGTTCCTCCGACTGCTCCTAGCTTTTGTTCATCTTCAGATGGTGGTATGAGTCCAAATGACAAGTTTGCAATGTCTGTCACTCCTTTTTCTTGTATTGTTGTTTCTACTGTTCCTTTCTGCAAGTCCTCCTGATATCTCTCCAAAAACTGTTCTTTATCTTGAACTGTTCTTATTTTGACCTTCCTTCCTTTGAAGTTAAAAGACAATCCTTGTGGAAACTCCCACCTGAAGGGTATGATATTTTTCTTCAGCAGGTAGACCAAATCTTTATAGAAGGCTCTCACCTCCAAAATATATTTAGGGATATCTTTAAAAATTTGTACTTGACTATTTTCAATCTCCAATGCCTTTTGGTAATGCAAGTTCAATATTTTATCTCTTTCTCCTTTGGATCTCAATGTGATCAAACAATCCCTTGGCTTCTTACCTTGCCTCCTGCCCAGCCGGAAAGCTGTTGTTATTTCAAATTCTTCTTCCTGCAGCTCCTCTTGCCAAAATTCCGTAAAGTTCTGTGTAAGGAAGTCCACAAGGCTGTCTCCCTCACTCTCGGGAACCAATCTCAATTTCAAATTTCTCTCTTTTCTCTGTAATTCCAGCAAAGATAGGGCTGCATCATGTTCATTCACTTTTTTTGTAATCGGCACAAGCTCCTCCCTTGTCTCCTCTGCAGTATTTTTGCACTTTCAGCAATCTTTCGTGTTTCAGAACTTTCTTGAATTAATTTATTAATAGATTCTGTATTAGATGTTACACTTGCAGTATTCAAGTCCAATCTTGCTGTCAGTTCTGTCAATTTTTTGAATTTTCCGTAGATAGCTTTGTCAGTGCTTCTAAAGATTGGTTTATTTTGAGCAGTGCCTGTGTCATTGAATCCATAGATGCTGTTGCCACTTTTTCCTGTGCAGCTGGTGGTATGCCAGGTATTGAGCCCCTTTTCTTTTGTGTCTGTTTTGCTTTGGATCTAGTTGTTATCTCTTCTGCTGGACCACTCATATCCTCAAGGTCGTTCTCACAGGAAAGACTTGCAAGTGGAAAATCCCACTGTTTCTTTTTCACTGTAACAGTTTCTCTTTATACCCTCTAGAGGGAGCATTTAATTGTATCCAAGTGAAAAGAGAAAGAACAAGGAAACATAGAGCAATCAACAAGAAATCCAAGAGTCCACAGTAAAAGTTTCTGTCGCACTTTTTCAGTATAGTCACAAGTTCAACAAAGTAATTCCATTAAAGTCCCGTAACTTTGTCTCAGACAAAACCCCAACTTTGTATCCAGTCTAAACTGACAGTTCACTTTCCCGGTGCCTTACTCAGGCAGTCCGTCCTGGGGATTTGGCAGTGGAAGATGTTTTTTCCTCAGTTAATTTCAGGCAGATTAACAGTGTCCAGTTTTCTTCCCCCCTTCTCCTGCTTACTGGGGGGAAGTTTAAGTCAAATGTCAGGTTTGACAGCTCAAAGATAATTTTCTTTCAAATGCAGCTTTACTCTTTCGTTGCTTTAATTGCCATGCAGATCGGGGAGGCAGACTTCCTTAATTTATGCCTTTCCCGTTTTCAGCCAAATTTCAGGATTTAAATTTAAATGTCCCGTTCAGTCCCTCCGTCTTACTCACGGGGTTTACAGTCGAATTTCTGGTTCAGGAAGAAATCGGCGCTCTCCGTTCATGGCGACGCGGCTTCACTCCACGGGCTGGGTTGCGACTCTCAGCACCGCGCTCACCCCCGATGCCGCTCCGTAGCCTTTAAAAAGGCTCTTTCACAGTACCGGGGGGGCGCAAAAGGTGCCCACCGAGTCTCCTTGTTCACAGGCTTCAGCGCCTGTGATTTTAGGGGTCCCCCGCTCGCCGTAGCGGGTCAGACCCAAACTCGCGGAGCAGTCCTCCTCCGGAGCTCGAAGCGAGGACCGCCATTAAACGCTGGCGCCGACCGGAAGTCCTCTCTTCTCTTCTCTTCTCTTCTCCAATTACTATACCACTATTCCTCCCACACAAGTCGAAATTGGACGATAAAAAACATTATAATGTAGGGCCGGCAAACATGCTCCAGATATAAGTGAATCCACAATGATAAAAAACATTATAATGTAGGGCCGGCAAACATATAGATTTTCCCAGAGATTACAGGGAATTGAGCTCTGAAAAAAGCTCAACAACTTTTGGGTTCTCCTTTCAAAAAGCTCAATATTTTTGGTGGTTTCCTTAAAAAAACAAGTTTTGAGTGTACTGGCTTTTACTTTTTGAGATGTGGGAACCCTAAGTTCAACAGGAAAGATTTCTGAGTAAGCTTGGTTGTCCTGGAAGACAAGGAAAGGTCAGTAAAGAATAGGAAGCAGTATAAACCTGCAGTATCCTCAATGAAGACAGGTCAGAAGTGGGGTCTCTCAAGGATCAATACAGTGGTACCTCGGGTTACATATGCTTCAGGTTACATACGCTTCAGGTTACAGACTCCGCTAACCCCGAAATAGTACCTTGGGTTAAGAACTTTGCTTCACGATGAGAACAGAATTCGTGCTCCATCGGCCCCATTAGCTAAAGTGGTGCTTCAGGTTAAGAACAGTTTCAGGTTAAGAATGGACCTCTGGAACGAATTAAGTACGTAACCAGAGGTACCACTGTATTGGGTTTGGGGGCTTTTCAACATTTTTTATTTGGTCCCACACATCCTGTCAAAGAAACGTAAGGAAGCAAACAACAGAAAAGAATAGAGTTTCAAATATAATGAAATCTATTTAAAACTTTTGAAAACATCAGTAACTTTAAAAAGCTGAAACACACCCTCCCAGTCAATAATTTGAAGGCTAATAGCCTTCAAATTATTGCAACCTTAACTCCCTGGATCAATAGGAATTTTAAAAAACTCGTGAAACATCGTAATGGGAGAGATGAATGCAGTGCAGCAGAGTGGACATTCCCTGTCATGGGTCAGCAACAAATGGGAGTTACATCATGGGGACTTTCCCTGTTAATCATATGGGTCCATATTTTATGAGCAAAATATTTTTTTAATTGCTATGTATATGATTTATTTTTCAGGAGTTAAAGTTGTATGAGTTTTAGTTGTAGCTGGAGCTTGTAAACATTGCTTTATCAGATGGCCTCTCTACGTGATCTTTGTGCATCTTGGTTAACTGTATCTCTCCCTAGGTAGAGAGTGGCCAGGATGTTTTTGATGCCTCATTGAAGAAGGGAAGGTGTGGTTCTATAATAAGAATAATTTTATTATTTGTACCCAACTCATCAGACTGGGTTGCCCCAGCAACTCTTTGAAAGCTGCTTTGAAAGATATGGCTGTGCGGCCCTTCATCCTTCATGGATTTGGTTAATTTCAAGCTTTCTTGAATGAGATGGATTATGGAGACAGGGGTAGCCAACATAGTGTGCTCCAGACAATTCCCATCAACCCTAGTTGGAATGTCTGGCTTTTGAGGTGATGAGCATCGTAGTCCAGCCACCTCTGGAAGTCAGCATACTACCTCTCCCTGATCAATATCCATTTCTAGCTCAGCAGGCTCAGCTTTAGCTAAAACAACCTGTGTTATATTATTTGTAAATCATAGTTTGATATGACAATGTTGGTGCAGACAACTATATACAGTCATACCTCGGGTTACAGACACTTTGTGTTGCACGATTTCGGGTTGCGCACCATGCCGAACCCGGAAGTACCGGAACAGGTTACTTCTGGGTTTTGGTGCTCACGCATGCACAGAAACACTAAATCACTCTTTGCGCATGCTCAGAAAAGCCGAATCCCGACGCTGCAGGTTGCGAATGCTGCGGATTGGGAACGGGCCTCCCGCATGGATCACGTTCGCGATCCGAGCATCCACTGTAATGGAATTCATTCTCGTATAGTACCCATTATTCCTTCTCTAGAGGGATTCTGGGGGTGGCATTTTTGTGAGGACTGTGGACAGAATATTTGATTCAGCTTCAAGGAACCACACTTCCATATATTTCTAGAGGATATATTTTGAAAACTGGTGAAATACTACAAAACTGAACATACCCCGTTGGCTGGTTCTAGGAATACAGTCATGTTCCAGCATCACCAGATTCCTGTGAATAAAATATAGATGTGATTTACCAATTGCTGATCACTGTATCTGATCATGGACATCATTTCCCCAGAAGCATTGTGATGAAATTGAGGTAGGATATACTAGGGGGTTATTTGGTGAAATTAAATGGGGTTCTCAAAAAGGATTCAATTAAGTAAAATACCTGTTTCTTAACCCTGAGAATGGGATGGAGTGCAAACTGCAGGTGGCAGAATTTCATACCGTTTCCAAAAAAGAGTTAATCCATTTTCCACATTGTGCTTTGTGTTCCAGTATAAAATTGCACCATGTCTGGGAAAGCATGCAATCTCTAATTTCATCATTTCCCACCCCCTTACTGGACTAGTTCTTTCCACCTGGAACCCTCAGGCTCCCTTCTTGGCCTATAAAACCCTCCAAACTAGGCTCATCCTCCAGCCTTCACCGGCTTGTTTGTTCTGAGCACTTTGATCTCTTCAGCACTATGACGACTTTCCTGAGTACTTGTCTCCTCTTGGTCATCCTTTGCCCAGGTGAGTAGGAGCCTGAGATCTTGAATTCTTTCTCCAAGAACATTCAGTCAAGGGGCTAGTAGTGTCCATATGCCACCTTTTGAAGCAGGAGAGGCAAAGTAGTTGTTGTGGAAGATAATAATCAGGCATCCAAACAACATGACCAGTCCAACACAGTTGATGCTACCTACGCCCTTCCAGCCATACAGAGCTCTGAAGGAAGGAGAGGAGGTCTAGCTAATCAGGGAGGCTGGCAGGAGAAGATAAAAGCAGCAGAGCCAACTGTCTAGAGAGGCAAGGGGACTGGTCCTCCTTACTGTTCCATTTACTCATGAGGAGGTCAGTGGAGAGGAGAGGAGTAACTTTAGCCCTGCAGTAGGCTGCTTGCTGCAGATAACTGGCTCTTGCTGGAGGCAACAGATCAATGGTACTTTGAGGCACTGAGAGACCTCTAACCGTAGACGCCAACCCTATGAGGCTGGGAACATCTCTGCCTCCCCAAGTATGTGATGATGGGGCTGAAAATTCCCCAAACTTGAGGGGCCCCATTGTGCCTCCTTGCAACCTCCTTGAATATGTTGTACTTGTGTTCTCAAGTGCATACAATGAGCACCCCCAATGTCAGGCAGAACTTGGTGCCTCCCTTTAACCACAAGTTGAAAGCACTGGTTGCAAGAGCAGGGAACCAGTGCAAGGGCCATCCCTGGTAGGGGATTAGCTTTTTGGGGGAAATCTCCCTAGGTGGAAGTAGCCAGTTAGCAGTGACCGGGGATGGAATATGGCCCCTGCTGTTGTGGGCCCTGGGCTGGAGGAGTAGTATAGAGAGGGGTGAAGGGGTTTTCATCATAACTCCCCAGCCATTTTTCTGTGGATAGGCAACAGTTTTGATATTTTCCTGGTAGGTAGTGTGGTGTAGTGGTTAGCGTACTGAGCCCAGGAGCTGTGAGAGATCAGATTCAAAATTCCCCATTCAACCACAAAGCTGATATTGAGTCTTGTTTAGTGGTTGGGTCCTGAGGGTCCATTTAGAAAGTGTGCTTATATCTCCTTATGGAATGGGGCAAGGGGCAATTTTTACATTTGCAGAGCCTTTTTGAGCCTCAGGATTATTATGGGGAGTGGGGTGCATTTAGCATGGCTCCAGGTAAAGGCAAGGCTAAGGTGGGCCCTAAGGGCAAAGGAAAAGCATCTGCACCACAGAAGGAGCATGCATAGGCATCCCATTCCCCTCCTGTTCTGTGGAGGAAGAGTCAGACTAGGGGACTATATTGATGTTCCTCGAGGCCCTGAGAAGGCAGAAGGCAGCCCTACTGTAGCTGTAACTTCAAGTGCTTGTCAGCTGGCAGAAGCAAGAAACACAAAATCCTAAGCAAGGTGCTGTTAATTTAATTTCAACAGGTTTGGATGCCTTGGAAGTAAGTACCGGTTTTGCTTCGCAGGAAGTGCCAGAGGTGGAAGGCACTCAGGACGTGGTCATGGCAGCTGATACTGCAACAGGTGAGGCATTTTATTCTCAGCAGTGGAGTTGGCCAGGGTGGCATCCCCAATTGCCATGGATTTGTCAGGGTTGGAGTCTAGCTCAGTGGCCTTTCTCCCCTCCAGTGGTGGCTGTGGCTTCCACTGGATTCCCCCTTTATACAGGGGGATCTGCCACTTTGTTGGATGCTTGTAATCAGGAAAGGGGCCCAGGATCTGTGGATGTGACCAATCACCCTGATCTGCAGGGATAACTCTGATGCCCCCCCCCCTTTCATCCAGTAGCACCCACCAGCTCTGAGGGGAAATGAAGGGAGAAGGCGGGTCTATATCATCAGTGCTGCCCCACCCTGATCCCTTGGATGTGGTTAAGCGGACGCCATCCCATTTTCAGAGCCATCAGCCCCCACTGGGTTTCCATCGTCTCCCAACTACCAAAGAAAGGATTTGGAAAGGGGAATATTGTGTTGTGTTCACTCACTTAAATAGGGAAATTCCCAAGAAAGGAAAGGACATTGTAGGTGAGATTGATGCAGGCAAACCAAAGCACAGGAAGGTGCCAATTGGTTACTGGGGTATTTAAATTTATGCCAGAATTAATATATCAAATTATGGATTTATGGAGCATACTCAGAGTTCATGGGGGGGGTGGATTGAAGACCTATGATGAAGCTTTATGCAGCTGGGCAGCTACTAATTAGGCCTGGGGTGGGGGGGGGAAATACTAGCAAGTGGGAAGAAGGCTTTGTGTCTTTCCATTTCTGTGTCTGGAGATGTTCCTGTATGAGGAATGGGGAGGGGGGGAGGGAGAGATTTGTGTTGGTGTGCATGCAGCCTCTAACCCACCACTACATGCGGATCCTGAGACCCTTAACATTGCTCGTGTTTGGCTTGGAATATTATGTTTCTCAAAGACTGGACAACTTATGTTTCCTCTCCTCTCCTCTCTGCAGTGAAACTGCATTGTTTAGCAAGCCTTAGGAGCGGTTGTATTATCGAAGGAGGAAGTTGCTTTACTCAACGTACTGAAACCTATTTAAGTGAGTATGAAGCCTTTCTGTCATATTAACTCTAAGTGTGTGAGTGCATCCTTTGGTCTCTGGGGTATCTAGTGTGACAACAGAATGCTGATCTCACCAACCTTGAGGAACTCAACTAACTTTTTCAACAATTAAATATTAGAATTAAAACTATATTAAAAATCTGTTTAAAATGTACCAATAATTACAATAAAAACAACACAACCCCAACCCTTTCAATAATTCTCCAAAAGCAGTCATTCTCCAAAAACCTGTTGAGACCCACTTGTAAAATTACAACAAGGCGGGGTTTAGTCTAGATTCTTGAGTAAGGTACAATAAAAGCAAAAAATAAAGAAGAAAACCTCGTGTTGAAACCCATACATCCATCTCTATGTTGAAAGCTCTCTCTCTCTCTCTCTCTCTCAGGCAGGGAATTCCAGAGTCTGCAAGGAGCCACTGAGATTGCCCATTTCCATATCATTAACTAATAGAGTGTGGAACCTCTCTCACTCTCTCATACTTTGACTCAGGAAAGCCTCATAGATCCACAGAGCCACTGATAACCTTGTCCTGACCTTTACCAGCTGCTTACTGTGAACAAACTGTGCATAAATATTCAGGCCTCATCTTTTTCTGGCATTTGTCTCATAGCTCCCCCTTAACTCCTAAATTACAATCCCTTAGTGAGTGATAATTCCCAACTGCTTAGAAAGCAACCAAATCAGAGTCTACTCTTTGTTGGTGCAGGCACATTGATGTAGCAATGTGGTACGCAGCAAGTGAATGCACACATGGAGACATGTGTTGGGTTCAGATTAGTCCACAACTTTACTGATTACAGGGATAAACAGCTTTGACACAGACACTGGGCATGTAAGCAGTCCGCCTACTGACTGATAGACTATTGGGGATGACCAATATTAGCGTCCATCAACAGCATGAAGAGCATCCTGTGAACCTCAAGTAGACACCGGCAAGGGGTGCTCTGTCCCCTGAACCCCTGAGCTGGATGTATGGACAAGGAATGCATTCTTCCAAGATCCCTGAAAGGGATCCCATCTGACAGGGTGGGGCTTCACCTCCCATTCCCACTAAGAATCCAGCCCAATGATTCTTCTGCTGCACAAAGTGGTGAAATAGAAGGTTGCATAGAAGGTGACTGCCAAACCTACAACACCTAGAACTAGTCCAGCATGCCATTAAGGATATCCACTAGCCACTTCTTGCAGCCAGCTGCTTAGTATAATCTGTCCTGTAAAAAGTCCCCTTGTGCTTGCACATTTTGCTTCATCACTTAGTTCATCTTACTTGGTCCTTGTTAACTCAGATGCGGTGGACAGTTCTCCTCCACACTTGCCTCTTTCATTCGCAGGGCTAACCAAGCTGCAGACAAGCATTTTCCTTGTCCTCCTACTGTGTTCGGCCCAAACAGACTACCCAATCTCCTCCTCCTCCTTCATTTGTTGTCTTCTTCCCTTGAGTCCTGCAATGTTTTCCACTGAAAGCAAAGGAGACTGCTGTGACTTGGGTCCATTGGTCACTTCACTTTACTCTCTCTCTCTCTCTTTTGTAATTCATTTTTATTGGTTTCTTTAGACATACATTCATCAAATCACATTGTAACAACTTGATTTTCCTCTAATTAAACAGATATTTTTAAAAGCATAATGAAAGAAAAAAGAAGAAAAATACATATTTATTGATTGATTTGATTCATTTGTAATCCATTTCCATTTGACTTCCTTCCCCTTCTTACCTCAGTCCTCAGTTTTACTTAGTTAACTGCCCCTCCTAAAACAGCAATTTATTCAATAACCTAATTCCATTATGTTTTACTTTTTTCTTCTTTTCTTACAGGAGTTACTCTAAACTGGTCAAAAAAATTTATTCTCCATAATGGTCTTTCAAATACTTTTTGAATATATTTTAATCATTTTTAATTTTTTGTATTGTTTGATCTTTTTATCTGACCTGTCTGCTTGTCCAGTTCTATATCAATTTGATCAGCCAGTCTCTCCTTGTTGAAAAGGTCTCCATTTTCCAATTCTGGGCATTCAAGACTGTTGCTGCTGTGGTGGCATACGTAAATACTTTCTTAAAGTTTCTTAGAATTTTATCCCGCATGATCCCTAAGAGGAATGCTTCGGGCTTTTTAGGGAATGAGCTTTTAAATATCTTTTTAAATTATTTATAAATTCCCTCCCAAAATTCCCTCATCTTTTTTCAGGTCCAACAAACTTATGTTTGCCTGCCACTTCTTTACATTTCCAACACTAGTCCGATTTTTAGTTTTAACATGTTTTATCTTCCATTCTGTTTCCTGATTCAAGATAACTGATAATTTAGTTTGAAGCATTTTAATAGTCTGACTTAACATCTTGTTCTTTGGGTTCTTAGCTATTTCTTTTCCATTATTATTTTTTTTCATCTCCTCTAATATTTCCATTCTTTCTTTTTCTTTCAATTTCTTCTGAATTGCGTTCTGGTGGATGAAAAATCCTGTCATGGATGCTTTCCCTGTCTTCCAGACAGTCTTAATATTAGTTCCTTTGTTTATATTAAATTTGAAGAATTCTTCTATTTTTTAATATTTTAATATAATATTTATTATTAGTATTTTCCTTTTTTCCCTTTATAACAACCAAATAAAATTTCTTCATTCGCATATATCTTTGCTCTAACTGATCTTTGACTTCCTCCTGTCCCCCTCCCTGACTTCCATATGTTATCACTTTTATCTTAGCATTTCTAAATCACCCTATTTATCTTATTTCCATACTTAAAAAATTTACTTCTAATTTTTATAAACAAGTATCAAATCATAACCTATCAATATTTTCAATCAATCCTGCAAGTGTTTTCAAATGTTTACAATGTTCCTTTATATACCTTTTTACTAAAGGTATTTTTGAAAATCTTTTTCAGTTCAGTATATATCATATCCCAGTAGGCTTTAATCTTAGGACACGTCCGCCACATATAAAAGAAATTCCCTTCCTTCTCCTTATATTTCCAACATACATTATCTTCTAAATTTTAGCAAGTTTAATCGGCGTCAAATACCACCTATACATCATCTTCATTAAATTTTCTTTTAATGCCATACATGCAGTGAATTTAATTGTTTTTGTCCATAGTCTTTCCCACATCAAATCTGAAGAATTCTTCAGAAGCTTTCTTAGCTTTCTGAATTATTCCTTCATCAATAAGTAATGCTTCATTCATCCTCTATCTTTTCAGCCCTCTTTCTTTCCCCTTCAGGTATAAGTACACTGAATTGTGATCTGATAGGGACTTTGGATCAATTTCAAATTTTCTCACTCTTAATGTTAATTCTTTTGAGATCCAAATTCCGTCTTGACTGCTGGCATACTGGTTCGGCTCAGAATAATATGAGAATTCCTTTGCCCTTGGATGTTTAAACCTCCAAGCGTCTACTAAATTTCTATTAACTGGAAAAAGCTTGAGATAAGCGTCCTGTTTTATTATCTACACTGCTTTGAGTTCTATCATGTTTGAAACAACTCCATTCAGATTTCCTAGGAGAATTATTTTCTCCTCCATATAGTCTAACACTGTTTCTTCCAGGTGTCTATAGAAATCAGCTTTATTATCACTGGGTGCATATACTACTCAAGGCAGAGTATGTTTTACCAAGTAAGAGGGGACTTTCTTTTTACCCCTTTCTTCATGCCCGATTTATTTGTTCAATTTTAAATTTCATTTGTAAGATTTCCCTTTTCTGCTCTGTTAAACTCTCCTGACAAAGAGACGAAGAGACCGGGAAACTCTTCTTTGACAACAAAGAGGAGTTGGGGGTTGGGGGGATGCGTAGCCTTCACGTCTTCCCCCTCAAAGCCCGTTGGCGATTGAGCCCTTCTGAGCTCATGCCTGCTTTACACTCTCATGTACTTTTAAGGTTTTTTTCTTGCACAGGCATGTCTGCAAGATTTGGGACGCTGCCTGGGCCAGAGTAGGCAATGGCAAGGGGCGCAGCCTATCCACTGTCACACTGGGTGCAAACAACACTCCTGAAATTCATTCTGATTGGTCTGAGAATCTCCATTCACCCCTTCCTCCTAAGGGGTGAATGGAGATTCTCAGACCAATCAGAATGAATTTACCTGATCCAGGCCATATTTTATAAATATTGTCCCCAACGCCACCACCCCACTCTCTCTTTTTAGAACCAGTCTCCAATTAAGGTAAAGGGACCCCTGACCATTAGGTCCAGTCACGGACGACTCTGGGGTTGTGGCGCTCATCTCACTTTATTGGCCGAGGGAGCTGCGTACAGCTTCCGGGTCATGTGGCCAGCATGACTAAGCCACTTCTGGCGAACCAGAGCAGCGCATGGAAACGCCGTTTACCTTCCCGCCAGCGCGGAACCTATTTATCTAGTTACACTATTAGCTGATGTCAAATAGGCCTGCAACATATAGTAACAGCACATAGCATCAAATGCTGAAATACTCTAATGATAAATGAAGCCATAGAAATCATTTTTAAAAAAGGAAAAGGGGGGGAAACGTACTCAGACAGATATAACTGCTTCTCCCCATAGAAGGTTGCGTGCAAAAAGATTTCTTGTATTGAGAAGTGAGTTCAAGAGATCAGAAAATTAGAGGAAACAGGTGAAAAACCATCTTCTCCCGTCTCTCAGAAATATAGTACATAATATAAGGAAGCTTCATGAGTCAGGCCCCTGGATCAGCTAGCTGTATATCAGGTAGAGATGGGTAGTGGATCAAACTATTCTAGGCTCTTTTGTATGGGCAGAAAAGCAAGTCCATCTAGTCCCATTTATGTGCAAGTTGTTAAGGAACTATCCTAGAATATTCACATGGTATTGCAGAAGAAATTATACATCAAAGAAACTACTTTATGGATTAGTTTGCTGAATTCAGTTCTTGCCAGGTATTTTCTCTTAAATGACCCATCTGCCCAATGTATTTATATTTGTACGTTCATCAATTTGAATTTTTGCATATCTTGCTATTCCTTCAATTCTTTCTAACAGATGGCTCTGTAGCGCACTACAAGAATAAGGGTTGTGCTAAAGATTGCATCTCAGTAAATGCCACCTTCTCTTCAGTAGAAAGAAAATACGTATTTCATAGCCACTATTGCTGTCAACAATATATATGCAACTTGAAAGTGCTTGAAAGTAAGTATATCTATCTATTTTTAAAGCACATTTTTTTTAAAAAAAGCCTAACTAGCTTTTCAGACACCTTTTAACTGAATAACTTTCTAAAGAAATGCCTGAAGCAACTAATATTATAGTTGAGATCTTGTTTATTCTGTTATATTTTACTCCAAGAAGACACATTTATTCCAAATAGAATCCAATAAGGCAGACATTTATGTACAAAATATATTTTGAAAAATGTGAAATTTGCAGGTGGCTCTTTGAAATATTAAATAATCAATATATTTTTGGGAATTTTTAAATCATATTAATTTTTTTAATCCTTTTTTAAAAATTGAAAATTTGGTAACTTAGATTTTTAGATTTAGAGTCAGTCCATCATGTGACATATCATGAAGCTCAGGTTCTGAAGGGATTTGTGTTTTTAGTTTTGACGTACAGTGGTACCTCAGGTTACATACGCTTCAGGTTACATACGCTTCAGGTTACATGCGCTTCAGGTTACACACTCCACTAAGCTAGAAATAGTGCTTCCGGATAAGAACAGAAATCGGGCTCTGGCGCGGAGGAGGCAGCGGGAGGTCCCATTAGCTAAAGTGGTGCTTCAGGTTAAGAACAGTTTCAGGTTAAGAACAGACCTCCGGAACGAATTAAGTACTTAACCTTAGGTACCACTGTATCTCAATGCTGGGCTGAGCTTCTAAGCCCTTTGTGTACTCTGGCAAGGTCAAATTTCTCTCTCTCTTTTTGAAATTTCAAACCCACATAACTCAAAAATGGACTGAGATAAAAAAAATAAAATTTTAGATTTAAACTTAGTTTTGATTACTGAACAAGTGTACAAAAGATGACAAAAGAAAATTAGATGACATGAGGTAAAAAAGTTGTATCACTTGATTGGGTGCCAGTGCAATGTTCCCTTGCCACTAATTAGGGACAGAATATTGATATGTAAAAAAAAAATGTAGTGAACTGCCCTGTGATTTTTGGATGAAGGGCAGTATACAAATTTAATTCATAATAAACAAATAAGTAAATATTGAGCTCCCAATGGGGCTTCAAAAATTCCTTGGAGGTGTTCAGTACATGCCCTAACCTAGTTTGTATGAAAAAGTCTTGGAATCAGCATCACCATCTGTATGTCATGGAGAAGCACTTTCTCCCCAAGAGTTTCAAATGACCACGGGATGTGTGGAAGAGATCCCCACCCCAGATAAATTGGGGAAACAGAGAGAGAGAGATAAGAACACATGCCCCCCCTTGCTCACTGATAGCCCTGCTCACTCTGGGACTCATCTTGGTGGGGCAGAACTGCAGAGGTAGTCAGTGAAACTATCTATTGCTGCTGAATGCCATCTAACTGGAGAACAACAAAAGTCGCAATGCTTGGGCAAAGTTGTTCAGCTCTATTTGGGAACAAAAATATGTTTTTGGGTTTTGGAGGGGATTTTAAAAGCATTTTTAAAAACAAAAATCACCCTACTTGATGGGAAAATATGGACATATGGTAGCCCTAAGTTCCTCCCATTGCTATATTTCATGTCTCAGTTAGTGAACTGTTTCTTTTCTCTCATTGGTTTCTACAGTAGGTCTGCCAAACATTGACATTTTCCCGTGTCCAGAGGGCATTATAAAAAATCAGTAAAATGGTGAGGGATGCATAAAAACTTCAAATTTGGTGTCCTGGTTTTCACTTGTTTAAACTGCAGTGACTGGCAATGGTTGCTGGTGATTGAGTGAGAGATGTCTGGGGTGACTGGATGGATGATGTATCTGTGTGCATTTGTGGAGTAAAATGGGATGAGTGATACTGAATAAGAAGCTGGGACTGAAACTGCCTTGGTCATGCTGGCTGATGATATCCGGCGGGCTAGAGACAAAGGTGAAAGCTATTTCCTAGTTCTGCTGGATCAGCAGCTTTTCATACCATCGACCATAACATCCTTCTGGATGTTAAAAGCAACATTTTTCATACCATGTGGTGGGCCGGACTATATTTTTTGGGGGGAAATGAACTAATTCCTATGCCCCACAAATAACCCAGAGATGCATTTTAAATAAAAGCACACATTGTACTCATGTAAAAACACCAGGTAGGCCCCACAAATAACCCAGAGATGCATTTTAAATAAAAGGACACATTCTACTCATGTAAAAACACGCTGATTCCCGGACCATCCACGGGCCGGATTGAGAAGATGATTGGGCTGTATCCAGCCTGGGGACCTTAGGTTCCCTATCTCTGTTTTGGACCATCTAGAGGGGCTGGGACCTGGGGGCACTGTTATACAGTGGTTCTGCTCCTTCCTCCTGGGCCATGTTCAGAAGGTGGTGGGGGGATGAGTGTTCAGACCAGACCCCTGGTCTCTCACTTGTGAGATGCCTCAGGGGTCCGTCCTCTCCCCCATGCTTTGTAACATCTACATGAAGCCGCTGGGAGAGATCATCAGGGGGTTTGGGCTGGGTGTTCATCAGTATGTGGGTGATACCCATCTCTACCTCTCTTTTAAATCGGAACCAGTGAAGGTGGTGAAGGTCCTGTATGGGTGTCTGGAGGTGGTTGGAGGATGGATGGTGGCTAACAGATTGAGGATGAATCCTGACAAGGCAGAAGTACTATTCTTGGGGGACAGGGGGCAGGTGGGTGTGGAGAACTCCCTGGTCCTGAATGGGGTAACTGTGCCTCTGAAGAACAAGGCGCACAGCCTGGGAGTCATATTGGACTCACAGCTGTCTATAGAGGTGCAGGTCAATTCTGTGTCCAGAGCAACTGTCTACCAGCTCCAACTGGTATGCAGGCTGAAACCCTACGTGCCCATGAGAAAAAAAATAAATTTTTAGATTGAAACTTAGATTTCATCACTCAACAAGTGTACAAAACATGCCCCCCCCTTGCTTTCTGAAAGCCCAGCTCACCCTGGGACTCATCTTGATGGGGCAGAACTGCAGAGGCAATAACTTTATAGTTTGTGGATATTAGAGGCAGAATCTTAGTGTGATGTGTAGCATTTAGTAAGTTAGGAGATGCTTTATAAATGCTGTAAACTGCCCAGAGTGGCTGGGGTAACTGAGCCAGATGGGCAGGGTGTAGATAATGAAATAATAATAAAGTTATTATTATTTATTATTTATTATTTATTATTGGAGCACTGAAGACAGAAGGATTCCTTCACTCTAAAGACACTTCAATATATGCTGATGTTTTTGGTTTTTTTTGAGATTTTATATTTTATTGCATTGTAATGCATTTAGGTATAAAATTAAATTTTATTGTAGTTTCCAAGCCTGGCTTGCTCTGGTCCATGGATTCATGAAGAGTTGGACAGGACCAAATGACTAAACAACAACAGGAGCCTCTTTTTAGTATTAAGTGATATATAATAATCATTAATAAATAAAAAAATACACACCAAGGCTTTATTTATTTATTTATTTATTCATTTGTTGTTTAAAAACTTTACACAGTAACCTTAATCAGAGGAGTGTTTCCAACATAATAACAAAGTATACAACATATTATACTTAAACAAGATTATATACCTAACTCTATTTCATAGTAATAAGCACTGTTAGTATATGTAATTAGTGATTGAACACTATACATAATAAACCAAGCACCAAAAATAACAGTGGCCAATAAGTCACATTCACAACAATAAACTCCCCAACTCACTCCCTGAAAAATACCACTGCTTGTCTGCTCATCTCAGGTCTAACTATCTGCATCATCAACATCATTAATTGCAGAAACAGAATGAAGTAGAGATGTTGCAACCCTCTCACAAGATTAGAGAACTGAAGCTTAGGAATTAGAATAAAGATAAATGGGCTGGAATCATGTCTTGACTTTAGTATTTCCTTCTGGCAGTGCCATCGAGGCGCTTGAATGGGCTGGAGTGCCCAAACCTTGGTGTAGCTGAATCAGAAGTTTCTGAGGGTTCAAATGCCATTGAGTGTTACAACGA